ACGTTTAGCGACACACAGCCGTTACACTGTTATACATTGTCTCTCGTTGGAAATCGGTAGCTACAAAATGTCAGATTTTAAAGTTAATTTTGATTTGTTGGGGGGCCTCAGTATAGATGAATGGTTGGAAACGGACACAGACCACAAAACCAACGAAAGATTTGCGGCTGTTTCAACTGACGAGTTGAGTGCGTTGGAAAAAAGTCGCAACGAAAAGAGTACATTGGCGTCAACTACCTGGGCTGTCAAATGTCTCAAAGCGTTTTTAAAAACCCAGGAGAAAATGGTGGATTTCGGAACAGTGTCCAAACCGGAGCTGAACAGCTTACTGTACTATCGTTACCATGGGAACTACTTTCTAGGAACTACTTTCTGACGGAGATTAACTCAAGCAGAAAGCGTAGGTTTGGGAGCAAATTAGCCCACATTATGAAATTATTTTACGATATTGTTGATTACAATGATAGTTTGTGTGATAGAATCGCAATCATACACTTGAGGCCGTTCTTGAACGTCATTATTGGTACGACAGTACTGCGGCAGGACCGAGGCGCTTGTATGATTGCTTAATTCAGGGGGCTCTGGCTCTGCGTAAAAAGAACAAAATCCACCTACCAACACCTTTAATGTCCCAAATGAACACTTAGTTGTGAAGTGTGAAAACATCAAGCTATGGTTTTATAGGAGGTCTTGTGTTTAGCTATGGTTGAGACCAGCTTTCTGGAGTCTACCCATTGGGAAGCCTTCGTAAAGCGACAATTTGTAGTTTTTCACTTCAGTTTTTGCAGAGAAATTGTTTAGCTTTAGAGGTGCTGGTAGGTGGATTTTGTTACCTATGGACACATCCAGGCTAGCTGTTTACCCCTGTTTACAGTCTTTGTGCTAAGTTAAGTGAATTGGCTGCCGGCTGATGTCAAACTAATACTTTTAACTATCCTTCAGTTATTCTTTGCAGTTATTCTCTATTGCAAGTGTACCGCAGGCCTGAATGTAAGTGAGAGAGAGATGTATAAAAAAACAAGGAGAGAAACCTTTTTTTACTTTCATCCTCTGTAGGTCCAACACAGTGAACAGAAAGCCGACAAATGCCTTTTCCAGTATAAAATGTTGGCAGGGATGGGTCACATGATTTCTTTTACTTTCAATGAATGTCTTTTTTTAATTTTCTCTTTTTTGTGTGTATGTTTTTTTTTTTGATCTCACCCACCATGAATGTTTAAAAAGATTGTAAAAAATGTGGCACAACATGACATTTCTGACATTATTTAAGAGAGTTTATCACTGGAGCGAAAGGAAAGCGTGAATCCTTTTCACTGATTATCTACCTCGGTTTACCTCCGTGTAAACTTCCACTGTATATTTAATAACTACTTATACCAACGTTATGTGATGTGCTGCTTCGGTTACATTGCATTTAATACTTCCTGATGACTTTCCTCCTGATTGTCATCCCACTTTAGTTTTTTCAATTTATTTTGTCCGGATTTTGCTGGATGGTGAGGGCAGCTCTCTCCTCTCGCTCCACCTGTTGTGTGGCCTGAAGGATAGAAACACACACAGTTTGTTATTTATCCCCTCAGGTGTTGCTGAGGCATTGAGCCAGTATTAATAGTTTGTATTTTGTCCATTATTGAGTAATGTTATGAAAAGACAATGAATGTCTCCTTTTTGTTTCCTTTGTGCAGCTGCCCTCGCTATTCCTGTTTTATACTACCTCGATTACGAATTTATTTGATTGTTTTCCTAAACTCAGGGAACAAAGTTTAGTACATTTGAAAAGTCATGTAGTGTTACAGGCTTAACTGACAGGGTATCTTCTCAGTACTAAACCATTTGAGTGTGTATTTGCCTAATAGAAAATGCTATGAATGTATCCCCCAGACATTGTGCTCTAGTAGCTCAAATGTTAAAAAGCCCCCTATGTAGTTTCTCCTCAGGTCCTATAACGTCTGTTTGTTTAGTTTTTACAACAGACTCTTCAGTTTATTGACTTCTTCCTTTTGATTAGTGTAAAGATTCACACCAGAAGTGCTTGCAGAGGCGTGTCGGTTCAGAAAAGCTTTATGATTGGCCTTAACGTGGGAAAGCCTCCCTCAGAAGCGGAAACCAAATCTTTCTTTCATGAGGATGCAACACGTGAAGAATGTTTGTAGTAAAAGCAGTCTTTAATCAGAGATGAAAGTGAAGAATTGAATGAACACCATAAAACTATATTTTTATTAGAAGATAATGTTCCACGGAGTTCACATTGTAGAATTTTCCAAGTAGTCTTTTTGTTTTGTTGTAGAGTAGATAAAGATTAGCACTTGTCGGCCAAGTAGTTTTGTATTATCGTCCAATATGCAGCGGTGAGTGTGACGCTAGAACCCAAAGAGTTGTTTGCTACCTCTGTTTATTTTAGTCTCTCAACTAATCTCTGGCAGAAGGTTACTGAGGAATGTAAAATAATCGAAACACGTTAGACCAAAGATGAGACGCGGCCACTGAGATCAGTTTTGAGTTCCTCAAACAAAGCCTTGCACATTAGTGGCCTTGATCCGCGACAAAAAGAGTGAAGAGAGTCGCGGGTTAAAACTCCAAGGAAGTGCCTGCAGGACACTCAGACACTCGAGTGACTATTATTAATCATTTTGCGCACAAACCAAATTATCCTGCCGCAGTGTTCCTCCAAAACTGTTGCAAACAGATGTCTGTACATTGTAGGGGCGAAATTATGAAATACAATATATTATATTGAGTAGTGTCTGTGTTGCAACAGTGCAGTTTTGTGTAAATGTGCACCCACTGATTGAAAGATTAGTAAAAAAACTGTTGTATTTAGAAGATTTCCTCACATAGGACATACATAAAGTCATTTATCTCAACCCAAAATACATGTGAGGTATTTAAATGTTTGCCTTTTGAGTTAATACTAAAGATACTTTGATCATCTTTAAAGATATCTTAGTTTAAATCATAAGTGACAGATCAGTGGGTGCAGCTTTGTTTTCACATTCTGTATTTTAATCAGAGAGATTCTGCGGAGGATTCAATCATGGGAAATGTACGGGATGAAGAGTGACACAATCAGTTTACCTTTCTTTTGGAAAAGCAAACAATACAAACCAAAGATTGTTTTTAAAGGTCACCGTTGCATATTGGCATATTGAGAGAGATCTGTTTAAGCATCCTATCTTTGTGTGAAAGTTGTCATTTTCAGTGTCCTCGTACTCATTTAATAACAGAAAAATGTGTTCTACTTGGGGATTTCAGGATGAAAACGTTTCCATTATTCATCTTTTATTTCCAAAAATTAAGTTATCCTCTTTTTTTTAACACTTTTTATTATTCAAAGTTAAAGAAGAATACACATTTCCCTTTGTAATTGAACCATACTGTATTCATATGTCCTGTGTTATTAGAGCTTTAAGAGCTCAATCCAGAATCTGAAACCAGTCCTCATGCTTATAACTCTCAACCCAAAATGTTCAAGAGATGTTGTGGAGCTGTGATAAGATACTGAACTGCTTCACAAAGACACTGTTTATGTTTTTAACTCAGGATACTCACACACACACACACACACACACACACACACACACACACACACACACACACACACACACACACACACACACACACACACACACACACACATACACACACACTACTGGATGCAGATTCTAAATTGGGCTCTTCATAGTTCAAACAGGTACAGAAGTGTTACCTCAGGTTTTTATTTTTCAAATTCTTGTGATAAGTGCAAATACAATTTACTTGGGTCATTAATATGTGTAAGATAAAAGATGCAATGTGTGAGATATGGCAAGAATTTTAGTTTAAAACAGTTGAAAAATGAACATATACAGAATGTAAAGAGAATTTAGTGTTGACGTTGTGTGAAAGACTTCTGTCATGTTGCAGAAATGTACTCTCTCTCTGTTCCTTCCTGTCTTGTATTACCACTTGTCCCTCTAGAGGCGATTGTGAGTCACTGTAGCGTCCAGTCTAGCATCAGTCCAACATGTGAAGACGTAGTTCAGAAGACGTGGGTCTATGGCCAGCTTTTACACATTGCATCTTTAAGATCGTCCCACAAATGACCTGAGATGTTGATCTGTTCATCGCATGAATGTTGTTATGTTGGAGTTATGTTGCTGTCCGAATATGCGAATTCAAAGGGATAAAACACACTCTTGTTTTTCCTTTTAGCAGTAATATTGTTTAAATAATGTGAGGTAGAGCGCTGCGGGTCATTTACAGTCAAACTCAGGGGAACCTGCAGCTGCTCCGCCTCAAAGAGAAAACTGGTTTTCAAGTCTTGAAAATGGAATGTACCTTTTTGTAATGATTATGTTTCATGATATTTTATGTTAATGTTTTGTTTTACTTGTCAGATCATCTTTGTCAGCAAAACCACTTGCGAGTTGGTTTTTGCCAAAATATGTTAAGTTAGGAGATTTAAGACAGCTGGTAATTATGTATAAGTCTGATTCTCAATTTAAATAAAAGTATAAAAAATGTAATTTGTCTACAATTGTTTTGATTGAACGCTTTCATATTCAAACAAACATGCAGTAGCTTTGACTACAGTATATCTCTACAGGTATGATATGTTAACATCAGATCATTTTATACATTTTATTGATAATTATTACACACTTTTAGGTAAGTAAGGTATTTAATACAGGACTTTAACCTTTTAAGTATTTCCATGTCCTGGTATTTCTGCTTCTGCACCGCGCTATATGATATTAGTTTCTTTAAGATAATAGTATAAATTAAATGCATAATCCTTTGTGTTAAGATACAATCATTAAATTATTATAGGAAAAGATGAAATGTGTTAATTGTTTCATGAAAATCCCAAACTTGCAGGCAGTAGTTTATAATTGGGGGAAGAAATGTCACCCTGCAAGCTGCAACATAAAATAAAACATAATTACATAAATTGTTATATTTCAATTATATAATATGTATATCATCCTCATAAGAGCTTTAATTATATTTTGATTCTAATACTTTTGTAAATGGACATGTTAACACTGAAAAGTTGAAATGTCAAATAGAAGCCACGTGCTCGTTGTTAGGTGGGTGCTAGTGTGCGCGTGTCGTCTGGCTCTAAACCAAAATGTTCCAAGGTTATGTTACTTGAATCGAATGGTAAGTTGAGTTCAGCAACTTTAAATACTACTGGTACCCTATGACTTCTTATATGACAGTATGCTGTGTGGAGACTCACCTGTCATATAAAACGTGTAGAAGTTGTGCTTTCTATAGGCCTATATAGAATATTTTGGTTTAGAGTTTAGAGCCAGACGACACGCTCACACTAGCACTTAATAACAACGAGCACGTGGCTTCTATTTGACATTTGGACTGTTCAGTGTTGACTCTAAAACACAGTGAAACAATACATTATTGTCTTGTTGTTTTTGTATGTAGTTTTCTTTTTTTTGTTTCCATTTTAGTTCTGATGACAGTCTGCTTTATCACGCTTCCTTGTTTATGTTTTTTTCCACTCGCTTGCTGAGCCAGTTTTGCCACCACGCTGACGTATGGGAGTTGTAGTTCTATGAGTTCTAAAAATGCGGTTTCCGCTTGTCTAGCTAAACACTTCAAAACTACATTTCCCATAAAAATACGGGTTTTGCAGTGTTGTTAAAGGATAATCTGGGCTGGAACTGCGTTTGGAGCTCCAACAGCTGCCTCGTCGTTTGGCACAACACACCGGTGAGTTTAGTCTTTTTTTAAAAGCTAGTGATGTTAAAAGGCTGCTTAAGATACGTAACGTTACTAATTATATGTGTTGACGGTGCTCAGACAGGTGACGTTAATAACTAGCCTATTAACTTAGTTAAAACCAACAGGTAAACGTCGTCATTAATGTTAACGGTCGGATTTAATGGTAGCTACGGTATCGGTTGTTGTATAAACTGTTGGTAGCCTATCTCATTTGTTTAAAATGTCAGGCCGCACGAGCAGGCATCTTGTGTTCGCTGCTGCTGAGGTCTTCACCGATAGATGTCGCCTTTTACATAATGTCCGTTTGTTGCAACCACGTTGCAACCCGTTTATCGTTTTGTTTATGTATTTATTTGAATGGCGAGGACAAGGCTTTACTTCATAACAGTGCGTCACATTGGGGTGGTAAATAAAACCACATTTGGCCAACCATAACAGAAGTGCTTTTATTTTTGAAAACCTGTCTATGTTGATGTGAATCATAGTTCATTTATCTAAAAAATAAGTAAATGTGCTTTATTTAAATATGTTACTTACAACTATAAGTCTCAGGAGATTTAATACAATTGCAACGTAAAAATGCATTATATGTGCTTGAATTTGGACTTTCAGTATATGTTAGAGTAGGGAGCCCTGATTACAGTATTTCAATACAGCACACTTTTCATTAAGAACAAAACAGCAGTTGTCTCCAGTAAAAGGTACTTTCCAGTAAAAGTGAAAGAGCCCCAGACTGCCTGGGGTCCTGTTTGCAGCTCAGTCAGATACATAAGTCGGATAAGGACACAGTTGTACAGTAATACCTGTAGTTGTACAGCACTACCTGTACTACCTGTACAACTGATTGATAAGGTGTGTGACGACGACACCCACAGGCAGTGATACAAAAGTGTTGGATGTGTGTCTTAGGTTCTTTCTTTTTAATACCTTTTTATATTGCCCTTAAATAACATTTCTTACCCTCAAATACATCCCAAGCACAGAAGCCAACATTTTTATTTTTTACTAAATACTTTGAACTAATTAACTATGCAATTGATACATTGTTGACGTGACATAATATCATCCTGTGACACAATGTCCTACTTTATCTTTTTCACCACAATATACTTTCTCAGAGTTGAACCACCTTATCTCCTCCAAATCCCTGTCTGGCTGACAGCGGACAGAAATGTCGGCGACGTCAAGTGATGCAGAGTCGTCCTGTGGCTGGACCATTATCAGTAATGAGGTATAAATCCTTTTCTTGGTACCTAATCCCAGCTATTTTCAGTTGTCTATTTTCAAATCACAGGATGGATAGCCTCTCAGTTCCCTATCTCCAACATTCAAGTTCACAACTCTCATTCAAATGTTTAAAAACAATTTAGCAATCTCTTCCTAACTTATTCCTAGAATTGTTTAGACACTTTTTATAGAGTTGTATATGATGCACTGTTTATTCGACATATCGAATAATCATTTTTATAAGTGTGGTGGAAATTCCACACTTAATCACATTCTGGTTGGTTAGTAATGAACAAATCTTCAAGTTTAAACCAAAGTTGTGTTATTTAATGAAGAGTTAACAGAATCAATCTATTTCCAGCTGCCTTCCAACAGAAAGGCAAGCACTTTACACAGGAGAAAGGGAAAGGTCCCAGCCAATCAAAATGTAAACTACAGGTTATTGAAATGGTGACCAGGCGAGGGTTAAGTATAGACATGTTAATTATAACCGGTAACAACAGTGTGATAATTTGCCGGACAATTGTCACAGTGGCACTCTGCTCTCTGTCGAATGCTAGAGAACTCAAGGTAGCCAGTCTTTTTGCATTAAAGGTGTGAAAAAGCCGTATTGAGCGAAGGAAAAATCTAGTTTACACAGAACTGAAAGACAATTAAAACATACATTTCAACAATAATAGGTAAATATCTTGCTGAATACTGCATGTCTGCATGTATTGTCTTGTTTATTCATAAATAAAATGATGTGTCCCCAGGGTTCAGATATTGAGATGTTGGGAGCAGAGGCTGCCGAGCTGTTAGAGCGTCCTAAAGTAGAGGAGGAGGAGGAAGAGGAGGAGGAGGAGGAGCGGCAGGATGAACAGGCCTCAGACTCCACTGGTAACACTCCTCATATTATTTTCTACCTGAGTTTAACAATAGAAGATGTGAGTATGACACTGTAGGAATACAAACTGTTTTCTTGGTTAAATTATGTGTTTATCTACAAGCAAGAATATCCACATCTCTTTCAGCTAAATGCCTGAAACGTTGACTTTGTATTGTCTCACTGTCAGACATTTTACATTCACAATTTAAAACTCTAACTTTATTAATGTATCCTTGTGTTTTTCCTTTACATGTTGTACATGCTTTCAGTATCCCTTTTTAAAGCAGCTAGAAAAATATCAGCTTGGAAAATAAATATGATTAATGAAAAGATAAATCCAGCTGATCAATATAGGGCATTGTTTTGGTCAGTTTCTTAAATAAGAGCGTTTACTGGTTCTTTTTATTTGACATTAATAGGTCAAGAAGATCATACAGTACCCATCATAATTCACACTCAATTTGTATTTATTATGTTTGCAGCTCAGTGTGATGAAGAACAAGTTGCAGAGTCACTTGATGAAACTCTGAAAGAGCAAACCATAGATGAGACAGTGTGTCCCTCAGAGGTGAGGAAACGAACAGATAGACCTGCAGTGTTCTTTAAACAATCCAGAGTCTGCTCCCTTAGCGCTCCATATTCAAAATATTGTATCTTCTCCAGGACGGCCACAGCTCCACAGGGAAACAGCATGTGCTGTCCTTCAGCGATCACTCCGACATTGTGACTCTTGGAGATCTGAAGGAGGACGAGCCCGCTGAGGAGGAGGAGGAGGAGGAGGGGGCCGCCAACGGGGAGTTTTACCTCGGCACCTCCTGCAGCAGCCAGTACGCCTTCAGTGCTGCGGAGACTGGTAGGGCTGCCACACACACACACACACACACACACACACACACACACACACACACACACACACACACACACACACACACACACACACACACACACACACACACACACTCTTTAATGATGAAATGGGCTTCCAATAATTTCTCTATGCTGGCTAAAAGATTGTCGTGTCCGTGTCACATGACTTAAATTTAGAATTGATTGAGCCGTCCCTTAAGTTATAGATGCTATCTCTTTGCGTATTAGTGATGGGCATTCCGGCTCTTTTTAGTGAGCCGGATCATTTGGCTCGGCTCACTAAAAAGAGCCGGCTCTTTCGGCTCCCAAGCGGCTCTTCATTTTACCACAGTTTACCACGGAGCCTCAGTTTCGCCGCTGCGAGGCTCCGGTGCTCGCAGTTCACGCACGTGCCCCACTAGCACCCCCCGTCGAGACTCGCCGGCAGTACACTTTCCGTCACAGGAACACGCTTTGTCATTTTTCCCTTTCGTAATTTCAAGCGATAAAAACTCGATCTTCTCTCGAATTATTTATTTTTTTGGACTCCCTCAGCTCGAGTTCAGGGCGTTACGAGCTGAATAAGGTCAAATGACGGCAANGTCCGGGTGTTTTGATTTCAAGTGGTGGAGTAATCCCGAAGTGGTGAAAGTCTTTGCAGTTACACCCCCTCGAGAAATGTCAGCTGAACACGTTTTACAAATCGCAATCCGCGCCTCTTTCTCTGATATTTTGAAATATCTCCAAGCGCCAGACATGTTGGCTGTGAGCCAGCCGCGAGCATGGTCGCGCGCCGTGCTTGTCGCCGCGTTTTGATTACGTCATCACAACAACACGTTAGCTTACCAACGTAACCCTGTTCTCTGACATTCGGTGATATTTTTTCGGTGCTAGAACCGTTTCGGCCGAAAGCCGAAAGGGCCTTTTTAACCATTTTCGGCCGATAATTTTCGGCGGCCGAATATTCGGTGCATCCCTATATATAATGGCAAAGAAAGGGTTCAGAGTCTTTTCTTTTTTTCCTGTGTCCTATGTGGCAGCACTGTTCAATGTTTCTTGAACACATTACCCACTGTAGTTTGTGACGTGTGAATAAACTCCAACTCTGTATCAACAACACTGTTGTGTAACTTCATTTAAATACTTGTATGTGTGTAGATTAGAAAGAGGTAAGATAAAGGATCTGCAGTGTTTTATGAAGTATTAATCGTACAAAGGTCAGTTTTATTCAAGTAGAAGTGTGTGTTTACCTGGTAGTAGGCTGTCAGTAATGGCTACGCCTCTCTATTTGGACTGGTAGATCTCGGCAGACTGGCAACTTTAAAAGTAGCTCTCGGCTCAAAAAAGGTTGGGCACCCCTGATGTAGATACTCTAGGCTAGGGATAGATGTCATTTCTATTATGAAATAGTTATATACTGTTTACTCTTGTAATGCTTGACACTGCGTCTGGCACAAAAACATTTCCCAATGTTGGGATAAATAAAGTATCTATCTATCTAAAGATTGATATCACTCTCATGCATTTTACTTTTGACATAAATACTAGTATAGAGACTAACCAGCGTTTCCGCCAGGGGGGCGTCTTGCCGTCATTTGACCTTATTCAGCTCGTAACGCCCTGAACTCGAGCTGAGGGAGTCCAAAAAANGGCAAAGAACCTAGTCCTTCCTTCCTGCAGCGGTCAGACTTTACAACCAGTGTTATAGTCTGTGTTGTGGTGTGTGTAGGAGGGTATACTAGGGGCAGTGCTGGTTGTAAAGTCTGACCGCTGCAGGAAGGAAGGACTAGGTTCTTTGCCATTATATAAAAATAGTGTTGCTACAAAAGTATAAATTAGGCTTACTAATAAGACAACTCAGATCTGAAGCTACACAGGAATCTGCTGCCAAAGTGCAATAAAAAAGACAAAATTAATAGAATCACTCATTTTTTGTTGCATTTTATTAGAGTATAAAAATAAATACCTTTTAAAATAGGATGCAAGCAACACTAGTTTCTAAACTTGAATTGATAATAGACTATAATCAATGTAATGTAATGTAATGTAATGTAACTATAATCAATGTAAACAGAACAGATCTTAATGTTTGCATTCTTATACCATTTTGTACAATAATTATGATAAATAAGTTCAAACAAAGTAAAACTTACAGCTGATTAATAACGGTATCTAACTTGAGTTTTTATTATATCAAAAACCTGTTGAAATGCTACTGTTATTTTTACTGTCCCCAAAAAGCACGTCGGCAGCCTCCAGGAATGCTTCTTTCACAACTTCGCCGTCTTTGAAAGACTTCATGTGTTTCTCAAGAACGTGACTGACACGATAAGATGCTATGGTAGCAGCCTTGCTCTTGTTGTTGGGCCTGGTGAAAATGGATTGCTGTTCATTTAGCTGTCCTTTCAGGTCCCTCTGTGCACTGTTTTGAAATGCCGCTCCGAAATTAGCCTTCTTCGATAAAGCCACGCTCGCATTGCAGATGAGACAGATGGACTTTGAATTGGAATAGATAAAAAAATAATCATCCTCCCACTCGGAGTGAAAATTATATATTTTGGGCTTTTTTGCTTCTGCCATAATTGCGGTCTTGTGTGTGTGTGTGCGGACTGTCACTCTTGTTGACACGGACAACGTCAGCGAAATAGTGCCCACTGCCCACCAGCCACGCCCCCACACATGGGGTCACGCCGGCCAATCACAAAGCTTTGGTGCGTTCAAGTGGATTATTCTGGCACAGGAAGATTATGTTATAGGACATTAACGATAAAACAGAATATTGTTGTTCTATTTTTAGACACATCTCGCGATCGACTGGGAATCTCCGGTCGGTCGATCGACCGGTCGATCCCGATCGACTGGTTGTGCACCCCTGATCTACATAATACAAAATATAACCAGATATTGAATAAATGGAGTACTCTACAATAAACAGTGTCATTGGCTACAGGGATATTCCGAAATATATTATAGACACATAATAGCAAATCATAAGTAGTCATTTAAAATGTTAATTCCATTTAAATGTATTCATAAAACGTGAACAGCCGATTAATCTGCAGTATTTGTTCCCTGCATGATAAACCTCGCTGCACATTCTTTTGAACCTGCTAGTTTCCCTGTTTGTTGAATTCCCTCATAAAACCACTGCAGCCATAACCTTGGGTATTTGTATTGTAGTATTCCCAGGGCAGCAGCAGCAGCCTGCAGTGACTCACTCCAGCAGCAGTGAGGACGAGGAAGGGCTGAGTGCTGTTGTCCGAAGGCGAAGGTTGAGGAAGAATACGGCTGGCAGCGTGACAGAGCCTGAGGAAGAGGATGAGCAGGATGAGGAGGATGAGGGTGAAGTTCTTGAAGTCCGGACGCAAGGCAAGGGCAGCAGCATCCTCAGCAGCTGCATCCTGATCGCCCTCGTCGTAGCCTTCAGTGTGGGCTTTGGACACTTCTATGGTGAGACGAGGAACATATACTGAGCCCTGTAGCCCAACTATGCTAATCCTAATGTGTGTGTGAATACAAATGTAAATAATGTGTTTGTGTTACAGGTTCAGTCCAGATTAAAGAAAGGCAGAAACCAGGGGAGGAAATCAGAGTGAATGAACTCAATGTTGTGATGGATCTGATTCAACGACAGGTTCGAGAACAACCTTTTAAACACCAGGTCAGAGAGTTCAGAGATCACAACATCATTTGTAGCAGTATGTACATGAACACATAACTAACTCATTCTGTTCATGTCATTCTTCAACCTATGCTTTGACTTTTATTACCTCTTTTTGAGCATAAGATTATATTATATTAGGAAGACTTTCATTTGACCATAACGTGTTTCTTGTTGTTCTCTCTCAGGGCCAGATTGTTGACTTTGGAGCGGATGATCTGGATCAGCAAGAAGTGAACTCACTGCTCTCACAGGTGATGGAGAAGATTCAGAAAGAGAACCAGGAGCTCAACATCCAACAGGTCCTCATTCAGGTCACTTTTTCACTTCATTCCACGGCCCCAGTTATGGGTGGAAAGCTGTCTCTATTTTTGCATTTTGATTTAATTCTCTAATATTTCGGTACCACTTCACAATAAGACTACCCTTATAAAGGGTTTACGAATAGTTTGTAATTCATTTATTAATTAGGTTGTGAACACTTTATAAATCATTAATAAGCTTTTATAAGACGTGAGATAAACAGGGCGACTGTGACCGGTTGCCTGCCAAATAGTGAGCCCACATTTATCTGTACTGCTAAGCCTTATTAGAAATGGTAGTAA